CGTGTAACCTCCCGGAAAGCCAGCACCAACCAGGAGGGACACGGATCCAATAAACATGTGGTTGCGTTCAGTCATCCCAAGATCCTGTCCACGTCCTCGGGAGCCACAGGATCGAACTCCTCCCAGATAACACTCTCAAGACCTGCCTCAGTCATTTCGTCTGAACTAACCCAGTCGGCGGCCAAGTCTTCCCGAATCTGAGTTATTTTATCATCCAGATACTGTACAAAATCCTCAGCTCGGCCCTGCAAGGGGTCCTCCCGCGCTCCCAGATGGAGGAGGGAGCGGGTCACCCTAAACAGGGCGGCTGGGCGGTTATCTGATGACGCGATAAGAGCGGCAAAATAGCTAGATTTCGCCGCTTTTATCGCCACTAGGTAGGTCTTAATATGAGACCTTACCAGTGTCAAGTCAGACTCGGAACGACTGGCCCTCCAACCGTTCTCTAGGCGTCTTTTCCGGCGCTTCATCTCCCTCAGCTCCTCGGAGAACCAAGGAGCTAAGTGAGTTCGGTACCGGGTCAGAGGCCGCAAAGGCACGACCCGGTCCAAAGCCCCGGCAGCTGCCCTATCCCAGGCGGCCACCAGGTCATCAGCCGAGTCATGAGCTAGATTCTCAGGAAATGGCCCAAGCTCCATCTGGAACCTATCAGAGTCCATCAGGCGCCTGGGGCGGAACCACCTGGTCGGTTCCGCCTCCCTGCGACGGGGTGCGGCGGTCAGAAAGTCAAGTCGAAGGAGCGAGTGGTCAGACCATGACAATATCTGAGACTTCATGGATATTTGAGACATCATGAATAACTTTTTTAAATGAGCCCAGCCAACCAGTCACTGAACCATTTATTTCATTGTAGTCAAAAAAAGCCATGACATGTACCAGGTTTTGACTGAAGATGGAGAATAGTAGATACATTCTCATTGAGCTCACACATCAGATTTCTTTATTGTTGCATAATAAGATTTTTTTTCAATTCCCTAATCACTATTCTTTGGAAATCAGCCAGATGGCTTACTTGATGCATTAAAATAATGAAAGACTCTTGACCAGTTTGAGAGACCAAGGTGACATGAGATTGGCTATCAGTTGCTCTCTTAGCCCCTTCACTAATTGAGATATATGTTTTCTGTCCATAAAAACTCAGCAGTTTCTTGTGGCTCAATGAATATTTTTGATCCATAGGAATATCTTGACAGGTAAAGGTAACTACCCTGTGAATGATGTGCTTCATTTTGTTCCTGATAATATTTTCTTCTATGAAATTCTATATTTTCCTCATTGTATCTTTGAAAAAAAATGATTGAATTTGTGAGGTTCTCTGTTTCCTTTTCCTACTGTTTCTCCGTTTTTGCTACCAGTGTAATATTCTTAAACTGCTCCAAGTAGCAGTTGTTTGAAACTTAGCTGGTTGGCTTTTCTCACTGATAAATTTTTAATTAAATTCATCAGAACAGGAGGTTTATAATCTATGTGATGTTTTGCACCAATATTTTATTAACCATGTTTTAGAATAGAATAACAGAGTTGGAAGGGACCTTGGAGGTCTTGCTATCAATGATCTAGTACACTGATGGTAAACCTTTTTGGCACCAAGTGGTCAAATCGGAACACACATGCGTATGTGCATGCCAGAGCCCCGGAAACTCGAAGACCACCTGACCTTCTGATTTCCAGCACATACATGCACACCAGCCAGCTGGTCTTTGCATGCACTGGAGCCCCAGAAACTCAAACCAGCCAGCCACCTGCTCTTCTGGTTTCCGGTGCACCAGCTGATCTTCGCACCAGAGCGCCAGAAACCCAAAGACCAAGTGGACAACGTGCACATGTGCACCAGCCAGATCAGCTGGCTGGCATGCATGCATGTGCTGGAAAACTGACGAGCAGCTGCTGACAGCACGTGTGTCCACAGAAAGGGCTCTGCGTGCCACTTCTGCACGCATGCCATAGGTTCTCCATCACGGATCTAGTATTTCATGTTTTCTTGGTCAGCTGTGGTCATTCAATAAACAAATCATACCTTAAATTGACATCAGAATACAACCATCATTTATAATTGACATACTTCTTGCCATTTCTGTTATATGTAAGCAAAATTACTGAGGTTAAGTAGTATATTGCATATGCTTATCTAAGTATATGCATGGAATCTTCCTATTCTGTCCTGAAACCCAACCTTCCCTCTTCCCAATGATTGGAGGATCTAGGCTGGGCAAGTCAGGCCAATAGTGTATAACTATTAAGATCCCTGATAGGACATTGAACCACCTGTAGACAGGTTGATGTTGGTATTGGTATATTGATGGCCCATCAGTTCAGGACACAAGCAAAAATGTCAGTCTTGTTCAATGTAACTACATCACTAGTAAGTGTACGCTGGGCTACAGAGCATGTATAACTCCAGGTTCTGAAGACAAGTTATAATTCACTTTGTTCTGAGAATATTTTTTTAATTACTTTGCTTAGCTAATACTACTACTGTAAAACATTTTCTCTACTTAACCTATTTAGACTTCAAAAGAAATTAGCTTTTGGAATGTCTGATTATAATAATTCAAAATCCTTGCTAACTTGGAAACAAACTTCTAATTGAAAGGTGGTGATGGAGGGGAATCCATCTGTCTTTTATTTAACAGTGCGTAAACTCGAACTCTTGATTTTCCTAGCTTCATAAGTCTTGTCTCTCTTTTTTTTAAAGGAACTCTAAGCAATAAGAACAAATGAAAGAAATTGCTTGAAAGAAATAGAGATGCTTCTTCCATTCAGTTCTCCCATAATAAATAGAAGGAAATCTAGTTTAGAAACCTTCAGATACCTTTTGTTACAAATAATAGATTTAGCAGAGGGGCTACATTCAGCTATTTGTAAATGATCAAAGGAAAAATACGACTTATTCAGCACATATTTCAATAGAGAATGCTCTTTGTAAATAGTGACCTGCATGATTTTAACTGTCATGTGACTTTGCTATATTGCAATTTAAGTGCAAGTAATATCATTAATTGTACTGTTTATATAGAGATTTTAATTGTTTAAAAAGTTTGCTTCACAAGGGGCGTGCATAAATGCACCAGCGTGCCTACCGTCCCTGTCCTAATATTCCTTCTTACTCTTACTCTTTTCATGTATTCAAATGATGTTTATACTTTTACCTGTTATACCTTATATATGCTTGACAAATAAATAAATATAAATAAATAAACTTTTCAGGTTGTATTAAGATAAAGCCATCTTATCCTCACCTTTCAAAAATAGGTATGTAGAAGGGATAAAGATAACAGCACATGATTATATAGAAAACTTAAGTGCCCAGCAAATGTTTAAATATTACATGTCAGGTCTATACTTGTCTTGAATCTGTACAAAATTTGAGCTAATTATTAGATTGCATTGATGATCGTCTCCTGATACAGGATATCAGTACATTAAATTCCCATTAGCATATTTTAGTGCTTTCAGATCTTTAGCACCTGAAATAAAGTCTCAATCAATTCTGTAAAATTCATTACTTAATAAATGCGCATAGATTGTATTACATCTCTTCTTTACTTTTGACTAAAACAATTTTATTTACTAGACGTTGTGTGATTCTGCACTAGTTTACTGGCCATGGTTTAATTATGACACCGCAATTTCCTCTAAAATCATCCAATGCTGAATACATAAAATTCAGCTTTCCCTAAAGGACCTTTCCCATTGATACAAAAGAAGAATTGATGACACAAGACCATTCCTCTACAATTCCAGCAGAGGTCTTTAGGATAATAGATTTAGTCTACTAAATAATTTCTGGCTGATGGCTAGACCCAGGACATCATACAAGAGCATTGTCTTTGATTCAAGTAAAGCACCAGGGTCCCCAGAGAAATTGGCTTTCACTTTATTTAACTCTCCTCCAATGTATAAAACTGAGGATACACATTCAAGAGAAATTAATGAGGAGCATCCAATCAGAACGCCCAGATAAACTTTCTCCAACCATTCTTTCTGTAGTGAATATGCACTTTAAAAAATTCCAAAAGCTTATTCAAGGAGATAATATCTAGTTTAACTAGATTTGACCATTTTATATATATTTGGAATCCTGTATTTACATTTCTATTTCCCTTTACCCAATAAATATATTTTTATAACTATAGATTGGTCTGATTGGCTTTACAAAATGATTGTTAATTTAAAACTTTCCTAAATGCAAGACTGTCTGATTATGTACTTTAAGTATCTATTATGTTTCAGAATTATCACAAGGTTTTTTAAATTTCTCTGTCACTCCTTTCTGTTTTTGAGAATTGGATTAAACAAAATAGTCTTCAGTAAAAAAGAGAGTAATTTCCTATCTGGACAAACTGACAATGTCAAATGGTTCACCCTGACCTGTAGCAGCCTATTACAATTATTTAATAATTAAACAAACTTACGTGGCTGTCCTAGTCACACCCCATGACTCTGGGAGCCTTTACTTACATTAAAAATTCAAGAAATAAAAATCCCACCTCAATTTTATTACATACAAATTTTACTGAATAAAATTACGTTTTACTAGAGAATTTATTAGTTATATTTTATTAGTTATATTTCTATGCCGCCCACACTCCGAGGACTCTGGGCGGCTTACACCAAAGACAGTATACTAAATAGCATATTGCCCCCAACAATCTGGGTCCTCATTTTACCCACTTCGGAAGGATGAAAAGCTGAGTCAACCTTGAGCCGGTGAGATTTGATCCGCTGATCTGCTGAACTAGCAGGCAGCTGAAGTAGCTGCAGTACTGCACTCTAACCACTGCGCCACCTCGGCTCCTCAATGATGGTTATATCACAAATTATGTGACTGAACTGTTAGTAGAGAAAAGCTGTCTATCTTATAATAAGAGTAGCATGGTTTTGGTATAAGTTGTTCAGAATCATCACATTTAGAGTTCTTATTTTTCTGAAAAATAGATTGCTTCTTTGCTATCTTGTGAATATTTCAAGAGCTTCATTAATACTATATTTTTTTCCAGGTCTTATTTCTTTTCATAAAACCCTTAAGGCACAAAGGAATTGTCGCAAACATTGCCATGAAACCCAATCTGAAACAATGGAAACAAGTAATGCTGTTTGGAATATTTGCCTGGGGCCTCCTATTCCTATTTATCTTCATCTATTTCACAGATAGCAACACCACAGATGCAGTTCCTAGTTCCTTTTCATATGTTGAGACTAAAAGACTCTTGCCTATTCAAGGCAAACAGAGGGTTATCATGGGAGCAATTCATGACCCACCCTTCTCCGAAACAGTCAATGAGATGCTCTTCAACAAAGATGTCTTAGATTCATTCAAGTCAGAGACTGGGAATATTAAAAAGTGGACTGGCTTAGATAATAGTTTTGAAAGTGAAGAATTTTTTCCTTCTCAGTTAAGAAGAAAATCCAAAAGCAATTTTCATCAGAGGAACAGTGATTATTTATTTGCTGCTGGTCAGCTTCAGTTATCAAATAATGTTCAGCGAATAGTGAAATTAAACTCTGCACAGGGGGAGGTTCAGAAGAGGAATATTTTACAGAACAGTTGGTTCCCTCAAAAGAAGATAAAGAAAAGAGACCTAAATCACAGAAGAAGAGAAATGGTTGAAGAGTCCCATGAATGGAATGAAATTTATTCCACAATGTCAAAATCGTTCCTGTTCAGGCTTTGGAGGGGAGATGTCTCTTCTAAGATGCTGAATCCTCGCCTTCAGAAAGCAATGAAAGATTACTTGAATGCCAACAAGCATGGGGTGAAGTTCAGAGGGAAGCAAAACTCCCAACTGACTTCAGAACAACTCTTCTGTGAGCTCAAGGCACGGGTAAAGATCAGAACCATTGATGGTGAGGAAGCTCCCTTTTCAGTTCTTGGTTGGAAAAAACACGTCCCTCAAACTTCACTGAATAAATTATATCCTCGTGGATTTGGAAGCTGTGCTGTTGTTATGTCTGCTGGTGCCATACTGAACTCTTCTCTCGGGCATGAAATAGGTGGGTAAAGATGTTTAGCTTATTTGAACTCTGCTATGTAGCTGGAATCCAGATAACCACATGTGGGCTATTTCTGTACTCTTTGGCCTTTATAAGATAAGATAAAAGAAGCAATGGATTAGACCAAAGTTCATAAGAAAGCATCCTATTTTGTGTAGAGGCAACCATATTCTTTTTCTGGAATTAAACAGAACAGCATTTTGTAGCAATCTTCCCATATTGCTATTCTCCAGCAATGACACTATAGCAAGGCATACTTCTTCTGAATCAAGTAGTAGTATGCATTGTCTCCGGTTGAAGACAACAAATTTATAAGTATTATGAGAAGGGATTTTTTTTCTTCCAACACTTAGTTTCTCCTTTTTATATGATCTTTTCTATCAACTCCTACCCCCACCCCCAGCAAAAAAAAAATACTTTTGTGAATATATTTGGAGGTTTGTGGAGATTCTCAGTCATCCAGGTCATGGTTATTCCAAAGGTGCTTTTCAAAATGCAACTGGACTCGGTTTTTTCCTTGAAGACATTTTGCTTCTCATCCAAGAAGGGTCTTCAGTTCTGAACTGAAGAACCTTCTTGGATGAGAAGCAAAACATCTTTAAGGAAAAGACAAAGGAAGTCCAGTTGCCTTTTGAAAACCACCTTTGGAACAATGTGTTTGGAGAAAAAAAATTGTACGTTTTGTTTTTAATATAAATTCATATTACTCATATGACCTGAATCAGTACAGAAACAATGTATATTGCATTTTTCTAAATTTTAAAATACATACAACACACATTTAAAAATCGATAGTCAACAAATATATTAAGGGTTAGGGTTTACAAAATATTTGTATTAAGACAATGCATATGTCTTACAATTTGGGGCATATTTTGCTAAGTGGTTTAGAAATTGGACAAACATACCTGGTCTTTGAAAAATTAGAAATTGAAAGAAACAAATTTTACAGATTTATGTATTTCAAGTGGAAATGTTATCAAGCCAGATTGAATACTCAGTTTATAACATTTTTGATTATATAAACGTATGAAACAGTTCGGATTTATTTTAGTTTTCTTTTTTTCCCTATCAAATAATTATTCAATCTAAATAGAAATGCCACATTTAAAACTTGGTTAAGATTGGAGAGATTTATACACACACAAAATTCCACTACACTATAAACAACTGTAACATTCCAGTAAACTAGTATAGCAGTCAGTGAGACTCAGCTTTGGATATATCATACATTTAATTACAAGCAGCACTGCAATGCCAATTAGGGCAAATTCCATTACTATATGGAAGCAGAAAAGTTTAAACAATGAATTAACTATAGTAACAGATTTTATGAAAAGGCTAAATCATACATTTAACCTTGTTTCCCACCAGATGTTGAATGGCAACTATCAGCATTCTTTACCATTGGTTGATTGGGGCTGCCAGATATTAAAGAACAGCAACATCTGGAGACCCCAGGCAGTACTGTGCCCAGGCAGTGGTGTTCCTAGACAAGTGAATCATTTGAAAGTATGAAAGGACATTAAGGTTAAATAGTTTTAACCCTCTATATGAAATTTCAATAAAAGTATCAGTAAATATAATATATTCATTGTGATTAGTGTTAATACAACAATTCGTTAGGTATTCTATTATCATTAACTGTCAGTACATGAATTTGAGTCATGAACAAAATAGTCATTTCTTTGCATATAATATACTTAAAAAGAAACTTATAAAAGTTCTCTTTTAAATTGTAATGTAATGTAAATTTCAGTCCTTTCATTTTCCCATTTATTCTTTGGTATAACATAACCAAAGGTTTTAGCCATTTTCTCTCTTTCGCTTCTTCTTTTTCTGTCTCAAATCGAAATAAAAAACATACATTTTTATCAATTACATGTTCATCATTATCACATAATTCAATTTCAAATTCTGCCGTATGTTCTTCAATTCCAAATGTCCTGTTATCTTCTTTAAATCTTTCTGTCAGCTATACAAATTAGAACCATTGAAACGTTTCTCAGTCAGTTGGTCTTTTGACTTCATCTTATAGTCTTCATATTCTTGTTTTAACAATTCACAATATAATATATTCCAAAAGATGATTCAACATGTTTTCCTTGGTTAATGTATTGGTCAGGGAGTAATGCACTCAAAGATTATTAAAGGAAATTTGATTTTTTTTCAGCATTTTTTACCTCTTACAAGTATCAATGTTATGAATAGATTAAGACCTTTATAGTCCGCTATCCTATTTTACAGAATGGCCCTACAGACTTCTCTCTGGGAAGCCCACAGACAATGGCATGCTCTGTTTTCTGCCGTTGATAGATCATTGGACAGCCTTATAGTTCTCCAGATCAATAGGCACTAACTGACCTGTTGTTCATAATCGTAAATTTTAAAGCAATTACATATTCATCATTGATAGTATGATAGTAATATAAACGTGTAGTATTTTTTATTAATTTTTAAATCCCAATGGATAAATGAGCTGTATGCTTTAGTGAAGTTAGATTTCAACATTGTTGAATTTTCCAGTGCAAAAAAACCCCCAGGATGAGCCAACAGTTTCTTGGATTTAATTCTTAGGATGGCACTCTACTCTTATCTGTGGAGATTCTCAGTCATCCAGGTCACAGTTCTTTCAAAGATGCATTTTTCTCCAAAAGGCAACTGAGTACAAGCCTTGGTAGTACAGTGGCCTAAGGCACCCTGTTATTAAGCTGGTTATTAAGACCAGTTGCCTGCAATTACTGCAGGTTCGAATCTCGCCAAGGCTCAAGGTTGACTCAGCCTTCCATCCTTTCTAAGGTAGGTAAATTGAGGACCCAGTTTGTGGGGGCAATAAGCTGACTTTGTATAAATATACAAAAAGAATGAAGGCTATTGCTTAGCGCATGTAAGCCGCCCTGAGTCTCCGGAGAAGGGCGGCATATAAATCAAATTAAAAAAAAAAATTAAGAAAACCAAAAAAAACCTGTTTTTTTCCTTGAGGAGGAAAATGTTTTGCTTCTCATTCAAGAAGCTCCATCCCTACCATCAGAACTGATTAAGCTTCTTGGATGACAAGCAAAATGTTTTCTTCTTCTTCCTCAAGGAAAAACCAGTTCAGTTACCTTTTGAAGAAAAAAAAAACACCTTTGAGAGTTTCTCCCAATAAGAAATCCAAGAATTAGAGTGCCTAAATTAAAGCCTATAATAGGCAGAATTATACAGTAATAATAATACAGAATCATACATATCATACAGTAATAATAAGCATCTAAAGTAGCAAAAACTGCCTCCCTTCCCCTCCATTTTGGTACTCCTCTCCAGTTTTCAAAATGGCTACGGGTTTGGTTGGATTTGTTTTTACTGAATTGTATCTTTTTTTATATAGAAAGCTAAGTGTTGAAAAAATGTTAATTAGCTAACATCAGAAGTTGAGAGATGAAAAAGTAATGAATTAATTCCCCTGACTAATAAACTCATGTGGCCACAGAAACATGTTTTCTCTTGACATCTACAAGACAAACTCTTAAGCAACATTTCATGTGTAACCTCAGTAAGACACTTCATCCTGTACTTGAGACATGCAAAATACTCTAAGTGCAAAATAAATTATGCAGAACTAAAATATAAACAGTTTTCTTTAGGGATAATGCAAATCCATGTCTGAATCCACTAAGAAGTATGCAATATTTGAAGTCTTCTAAATCATGTGGTGCAGACAGTTTTCCATTCACCCCTCACTACATGTTCTTCAGAGAGAGAGAAGAGTTTCTTATTATTAACTCTCACAAATATTAAATTGTCCTATGGCAGTGATAGCTAATCTTTTTGCCATCGTGTGCCAAAAGTGGGGGGAGTGTGGGAGGGGTCACTCACGCACATGCTCACACCCATAATTCTATGCTCCGTGCATGCGTGCCAACCCCCCACACTCCCCCCTCTTTTGCCATGTGATGGCAAGGTAGGCCTGTTTTTCACTCTCCCCGGGCTCTAGAGCCTTTCCAGGAGGCTGGGGAGGGTGAAAATGGCCTCCCCCACCCCGGAGGCCCTCCAGAGGCTGGAAATGGCCCATTTGCCAATTTCCGGTCCTACCGGAAGGCCCATTTTTCACTCTCCCCAGACACCAGAGTCTTTCTAGGAGGCTGGGGAGGGTAAAAACAGTTATCCCCACCCGCCTGGAGGCCCTCCAGAAGCTGAAAACAGCCTTTTTCCTGACTTCCAATGGGCCCCAAAAGCCCGAAAATTAGCTGGCCAGCACGCGCATGCACACCGGAGCTGAGCTCGCGTGCTCACCGATATGGCTCCATAGGTTGCCATAGGTTCGCCATCACGGTCCTATGGGTACTTAAATACATTTTCTTATTTTTACTTTAAATATCCTTCTTTATCATTACTTGTTATTCTTTTCTCAAAAACTAAAATGTTTGTGAGCATTGAAAGTGCTATCATTATCCAGTTACTTCAGTAGGCATCTCTGCTTAGCATAAGAACCATGCTGTCCTAGCACTAAAATTTGAAAGTGGGTAATGTCAAATATTAAGGGAAGTCCTACTGGTTTGAAAACTTCTGTTGTAAAAAAGCTTAACCGTTTTCCCCTTTTCTCACAGTATGAGAAAATAAAACAATTCAAGTTAATAGATTTTTTTTTCAATGGTAGTTGCTTAGTGTCTCATTTTTATCTCCCTTCTCTTTGAAGATTCACTGAATATACATTAATTAAAGCATTTTCTAAGCCAAGTTTAGTTTTAAGGCTTTTGAGAAAACAATGACCTTTATTATATAAATACACGTACCACTTTTTCCAATAATCTTTGTCATTTAAACAGAATTAACAGTTTTGTCTCAAGCATAACCTTCCTGGAATCTTTCTTTCTATTTAATATGTTCACTACATTGTGACTCATCCTTTATTGAAAATGTTTCTCTTGCATCTGTGGTGATACACATTTCCCTCTCTTCAAAATATTCATTAAACATCCTTATATATATATGCAAATAAAGATACCAACTTGCATATGGAGGAGACCATCTTGAATAATACTTGGCTGAAAAAATTCCTTCCAATTTCCTGAAAGTTTTCTTCCTCTGGGGGAAAAAAACCCTTCTGTTTTGTATCTCACTCTCAGATGCAGGAGAATTTATTTTAGTGATGCTTATGAGGTTTGTTTATTTTTGTGAAGCAGTGGAAGGCACTGCATATCATCCTGTATCTCGTTTATCATTCTGTGGCCCCTTGACTGTCCTACTTGATCTGAGGAATCCCCATACGGGGAGTTGCCTCATAATGTCTTTCTCTGAGATGTTTTTGAAACATGGGGATCAGAGAGGCTGCAAACTACAGAAGAGATCATTTAGCATGAAAACAGGACATTCCAACACAACTTCAAAAGCAATTTCTTTCCCATTAATTTAGTAAAATTACAGATAGTTCTCAGTGACAGTTGGGAACAGAATTTTCATTGCTAAGCAAGATGTTTATTAAGGGAATTGTACCCAATTTTACATCCTTTTTTTTGCTACAAGAAAATCACTGTAGCTGTTAAGTGAATCACTCAGTCGTTAAGTGGATCTGAATCATACATGCCTCTTATCAATTTTGATCACATGACTGGGGATTCTGCAGCGGTGATAAACTTGAGTTGTAAGTCACTTTTTTCAATGCCATTGTACATTTCAATAGTCACTAAATGAACGGTGGTAAATCGAGGACTAGCTGTAGTAAACATATTTCTAATAAAGCTTAACCAAAGTAATATCTGAAAAATAGGCATAGTATGGATAACACCTAGTCTTAATCTAAAATAAACAAATATGATTGGAAGTGTATATCTTGATGTGGTTATTTCCCCATTATTGCAAATGCATGTATTCACTGTGGAATACATGTGTTCTATTTTTGTAGTTGTTTTACTATGCCTGCTTGGCTTCTTATGGGATCTGTGGATACAGGAAGCTTCCAGTCAGATTTTCCTGTTGCACTTATCATGAGCTAAATATGTGTGTATATGAAGCAACAATAATTTTGCAAAGAAATTTTAATTATGAAACTCACATTATCATATCTAATTCATTGCAACCCATATTATTCTGTTCTCTTCTTCTGTTTTGGTAGAGTCCTAACATTACTTCATTTATAGAAAGTTACATTCTCACTGTTCTCTTCCCCCCCATCACCACCCCATAGCCCACTTGCCTGTCCACCCCCTTCTCTCTCTTAAAATAGTGTTCTGTCATTCCAGACCTAATGTTTCACCCCTTATTATCTGCTCTGGAGAGTTTCACTTATATACCTCCAGGCTGGTGATGACAGCAACAATAATAGTAGTGCATATAATTTTATCTGCCATGTTTCAGACGTTTAATATACATTTGTGATATATTTATCTCAGCAGATAATGAGATAAGCTGCAAAATATTTAAGATGGATTCTTCTAATGGCAATCCATACAATACTCACTTCTTTCATATTTCTCTTTTCTTCCCGAACTATCACCCCTTTTATTCCTTTGTTGGCTTAATTCTTTGCTGGTTTTTTTTTACATTGAGGCCACTATTCATTTCTTTTCTCCTTTAGTTACTGAGAAAGGAATGCACAGAGGAAAAAGACAAATGTTTTATTATTTAGTGCATGTATATTTTATCTTCCTGCCCATATGTATCTTCCTTCTGCTAATGCTCACTTTAATTTTATTGCTTATTTAAGGTATCCTTGCTTTATATCACATCAGATCTCATGGGACTTGCTGTCATAGTCAGGTTCAAACCTTACAGTTTTAATATGCAATTTTGTACCATATTTATGTTGGTACTTATAAGAAAATGCCCCCTTCTTTACTAATCTACTTTTTTTTTTCACTTTTTGTGGGAGAGGAAAGACGAACAATAGGTGACAAAACATGAAAGAAAGGGCATAAAAGTGGAAAATGCTAGCATCTGAACCTCCTATAAAATGCCATGAATGAGACAGCATGATGATAGAACAAAAAGCTTTTTGGAAAACTACTTGTATCTCACAATGGAACTGTAAGCCCTTCAAAGTAGTCCAGGCAAGAAACCAGAAACATTAGTACTAACCCTACTACCTTACTATTGCCCTGACTTTGACTCTTTCTATTCCTGTCTCCCAATTATAGGAACATTCTTTCTCCTGACAGCTACATTACATTGATTGGGTGCCATCAAGCCAGTGACAACTCTTGGTGATCACATTCATTTTTCTCAAGAAGAATCTGATCCCAGCTTGGCCTTTTAGTTGTTACAATGGTGCACTCATTGTTGTAATCAAGGCAACCCAACTGCTTGCTTCCTTCTCTTTCCTTCAATCTTTCCCAGTGTTACAGAACTTTCAGATACTATTCAATCTAGCCAATACCTACCATATAGAATTCCAGGGCTTATCAATGCAGTATAGAATTGTTTCACAGCAGAATGGCAAAATATTGTATGAATAACTGAACTGTGTCTGATGAGGAAATAAACATTGCCAGGGTATATTCACACTCTCTCATAATTTAAATGTTGGCATAGTAATCCAAGACACAGCAAAATGTATTTGAAGATAAATATACAAAATGCATAAAAATACCCAAAGTATATAAACTTCAGGAATTGCATTACAACTGAGTTGTAAGAGCATAACTTTTAAAACAATAGTAAAAAAAAAAAAGGAAATAATAAGTGTAACTAATTCTGTAACTAGGTATTTGCATTTATTGTTTCTTTGTGAAAAGAATTATATATAACAATAGAACCATATTTACATGGATTATTAATTTTTCTGTTCTAATTTAAAAAGCTTAATGAAATTTCTGTTCACAAAGACTGCTCACATTTCCATACTAATTTTAAAAGCTTAAATATTTGTCTTGGTTTAGACTGTTCTTTGTACTAAGTCTTGAGTGAATTTTGAGTGATTCTAGGTAGCAGCAAATATTTCTCTTTCTGGGCACAAAGAGAACATATCTGCTGTGAACTCCATGTAGGTGTCAGGAAGGGCATCCGACCAATAAAGCTCAGCTCCATTCAGTCGCCTTGACTCCATCCTGATGGGTCGTTAAAAGAAAAAAAATGAGAATATAGTAGAAAATATTTGTGAATAAAACCTGCAGATCAAGCATGTATACTAGAATCCATTTAGAATATAGTGGAATCTACTTTTAAGTAAGCATCTGTATAATTGCACATGTTTAAAAACCCAAATAAAAGTAACTTTTTTCACACTAGATTCTCATGATGCAGTTCTGCGATTCAATTCTGCTCCAACAAAAGGTTATGAAAAAGATGTTGGAAATAAAACTACAATGCGCATCATTAACTCCCAGGTAAATCTGTTGAAGATCCAAATGTATATTATTGTCTCGGAGATATTGACCTTTTGTAAGCAATATGAAACTTAATAAATACATTTCTAAAAGTTTATATGTATGTATCTATCTATCACCATCCACATACTCTACAGAATCTCTTTAACCACTTACAATGTATAATCTAAGTTATTAGGTTCTACTATTCGAATAAACTCATATTTTATTTAGTAATCAAAATGAGTTGCTGCTCTTAGATAGTTGATAATCATCAACCAGCATATCTATTAGCTTCAGTGTAAAATTCTGTTACCGCAGGATTGTAAATAATAAACTTCTAGCTTCATAATACAGTAGGTAGGGAAAAAAAATAATTTTATATCCTAGGGATCACATAAAAAGACCGAAGAGGAAAATAAACAGGAAAGCCAGACTCAGTGGCTTTGTTGATTCATCTGTCCCTATCATCTTTATTATTTCATTCTTTATAAATTATATCTTAAATAGACAACTTCATTTTTTCTGCATTTTAAATGTATAAATTTATGCTACCTAGGCAAATAATCAGGGCAGATCTTTTGGATTGTATAATTTTCCAGATATATAATTCTTATCTTTAAACATGCATGTAAAAATAGTTTGGAGAAAGATATTTTAAATTAGTTAGAAAGATATTTTGTGCAAAGTAAATCTGAATTTTTGAAATTTAAAAATGCCATAGAATGTGGAAATTGGAATGGAATGGATATAGATTTTAGTACATACTGTACTGGCATTAAATATGCAGACTGTTACACCATAAGAACTCACAGGAACTAGATAAAATAGAGATGACATAAACCAGCAAAGTTGTAGAGAATGGAATGAAGCTAAGAGCTGTAAGTGATTAGAGATTCATGATCAAACAAAATGAATACTCCTTTTTAAAAACCTGCAGCACCCTCTTGTGGCAGCTACATTATTCACTTCAAAACAAACTTCTATTTGTATGCATTTTGAATTTTATATTTCTTAACTATGACTTGCAAGCTAATAAATTCCCTACTCCTCAGGCCAAAATTATTTCTTAAATACTTGTTGGAAAATATTTCATGCCTGCAGTATCCATGTATATGCTGAAAAATGACTTTACGGGTTTTTTTGCATGGGATCTCATCACCCTTGAGCATACAAGTTGTCCTCGCTTACCAACCACAATGGGGATTGGCAACAACATCACTAAGTGCTACTGTCGCTAAGAGAAACATTGCACGCTGCTCTTACAACATTACTTTTCCTTCCGTAGTTAGTCAAATCATCACAGTCATTAAAGGGGCATCAATGACTGCCACTTCTTTTTGACTCCACTTGTCAGAAACAGGTTGTGAAGCATATAGCGATCATGTGACTGCAGGATGCTGCAACAGTTGTAAACATATCTCCAGCTGTTGTAGTTTAATAGTGACAATTACTGATTGAAACCTACACAGAAAAATAAAAAAACTGGTATGCTTCTATGTAGACAGAAGCATGCTCTTTGGCAGAGCCATTCTCTCTTATTACTTTCTTCCTCGAAAGTGAAAAGAGAACACTTACCTTCTCTACAATGGTATTCTACATATTGAGTGTGCAAGGGTACTTTTCGTTTCTTTTCAAAAGTGGGAATGGGGCATTTAAACCTGATGACAGAAGGATTGGGGGTGGTTTAAAGCTATTTTTTAAGCGAAACTGTCAGATAATGGTAAGAACAAAGAAGGGAAATAAAGTTTGGAATATTTTTAGTAGATACGTGTTTCTTTGCATTTAACAGATTGTTACTAATCCTAATTATCATTTCGTCGGTAACTCCTTGTATAAAGATGTTATTTTAGTGGCTTGGGATCCTGCTCCTTATTCTTCAAATTTGGATAAGGTAAGTCATAAGTTATTGTGTTGACACCACTGTGTGCTTTCTTTATTCAAAAGAAATGAGCTTCACAGTCTTTCTCAGTTTTTCTTTGCCAAAACTGAATCTGTGATAGGAATTGTTAAACCGTTTACGGGATATAGATTTGAATGTTGAAAAGCAATGTTGTTTTTCATATCTCATTGAAATGTATTTGCAAAGCAGAAAATGACTAACCCAAAGATCTTGTCAGTACGTAGTTGGACTTTAGCTATTTTTAAATATCTAGCTTTGGGGAGTTCTCTGTATTTTCATTTTTTAAAAATGTTTTCTGATTCATACGTGTACACATCTATGAACATTTTTTATGTATCCCACTATTCTTTTTCAAGATAAGCAAAGTTTTAGAAAAACAGCAATAGTAAGCAAAAGAAAGAAAGAAATGAAATAGTAGATAGCAAAAAAGGCATGATAATGAATCATTCGCTATTTTATCAAACTTGTTTCCACCCTGCTTCACACTCTGCCTTGTGTTTCTTTAAACTTCTCCCTTTTATAGGATATCAATTCAGCCACAACTTTCTTGAACTTTTCTTTCCTTTCAGTCCATGTATTTTTCCTTCATGTATGTCTTTTGCAGTTCAGCTCACTTCATTCATTTTATTTGACCAAACCTCTCATCATACTTTTTTCTGTACTAATTGTCAACTCTTGTATTTGGTCTGCATTCATTCAGCAACTGTTCAAAGTTGTGACAACGCTGAACGAGTGATACTTATGATTGGCCCTCAAAGTTTTAGCCATTGCAGCACACCCGTGGAGTGTGACTGCATTCAGGTGCTTGGCAACTGACTCACACTTCCAAATGTTGCAGAGTCCTGCAGACGTGTGCACAAGCAAAGTCAATGGAGAAGCTGGCAGGGAAGATCATAAGTCACTCCTGTCCCTTTTTCTCACAAGGAGCCTGATGCAGAGCACGAGATCCCAGGAATCTCCTACTCCTTAGTACATTCATGCCAGACATACCCTCCCAGCCATATTGCATAAAGCTCACATGTGCTCGCATCTCCTTCCCAACTCAGCTTACTCAATAGGACTCACTCACCCACTGGCCTGCTCGCGAGCCACTCGGGGCGTGTAACTTCCTGATATCAACTTTATTGATCTTGCTTGTTGAAATCTTGCAGGAAGACACATGTCCAATCACGTGAAGACCTTGCTTAACAAGAGGATTGGCGACTGCACCAATTGATAAGCAATATTGTCATATGACATCATGCTTTATGACTCCGTCTCTTAACAATGGAAATTCTAGTCCCACTTACCGTTTAAACAAGGACTACCTGAAAATGCTGCATTTGGGATTGCTGTTTGCTGAAACTATAAATATGAAAAGTAATTTGTCATATCCGGGTACTTTTCTGTCTTACCCGCTTACATGATATCATTACAAAATCAAATAACGGAATCTTGCATCAAGAGAGAATAAAATATTATATTATTGCTGTAAAGTACAGCCTCAAATTTTGTCAGCATTTTCTTAAAGTCATAAAACCATAGGGCTGGAAGAGAACTCAAAAGTCTTCTAATCCAACCCCCTGCTCAAGGCAGGAGCTTTATACCATCTCAGTCAAAGGGTTTATTTATATTCTAGAATTATCTGGAAAGTATATCAAAATCTCTGTTCTAAAATATAGGTAGTCCTAATTTAATTATCACAATCGAACACAATTTTTTTTTGTCATAATTTTTTATAGTTATTGAGTTGCCACATGACCTATTTTGTGACCATTTTTACAATGGTCATAAAGTGAGTGACTATGTCATTAAGCAAATGTGTGGTTATTAAGCAAACCATGTGGTCATTAAGTAAATTCATTCTGAATGAATGGAACACTGGCAAAAACATTGTCAATCATAGTCACATGACTATAGGATCCTGCATCCTGTGCTAAATTCAATCAAGTAGCCAAGTGCCCAAAATGCCACCAGGCAGCCCTATGGAGGCTATGTGGCTGTTATAATTTTGAGGATGGGTCATAAGTAACTTTGGGGGGGGGGTGTCATATATAATTTTGAACGGTCATTAAGTGAGGACTATTGGTAGTTAATAATGATTAAAATAGTGATAGCTTTTTAAGTCAAAGATGTAGCATTCTGCTTCTGCTGTGCTATACACCAAGATGCATTCATGTTTACAATGATAACAATGTGATACCTTAGATAATTTTTGGTGTATGCTAAGCGTTCTAAGAATTTTTTTTATTTCCCTGCTAGTGGTATAAGAATCCAGACTACAACTTGTTTACTCCATACGTACAGCATCGCAGTAAGAATCCAAACCAGCCATTCTACATTCTTCATCCAAAATTTATATGGCAGCTCTGGGATATTATTCAGGAGAACACTAAAGAAAAAATACAACCCAACCCTCCTTCGTCAGGTTTCATTGGTAGGTATGGCCAATGGTAGATTTTCTCATGAGTTGTGTCTGTGTAAATAATTATTTATATAATAAAACTTGAAAACTTGAATATCAAAATGGTAAAAAAAAATTACAGAAACTGATGGAAAGCATGTTGTTTAGTAGTCATATCAACTGCTCTTATTTCCTAATTTTTCAACTGCTCTTATTTCCTAATTTTTTCAGGACACCTGGAATTTCTGAAAAAAATCATTTATTATTGAAGTGTACGCTACAACTTTTGTCTATGGTGGACAAGAAGCTTTTACTTGGTTTCTTACAAAGATAAAATATAAAATTAATGAATAATGACTAAAGTGATAAATCATCTTACCAGGTCACAGTTCAACTCTAGATATGAAAGTATTTCAAGCTATGGCTTGCTGGCATTTGGGAATTAATTGAATATTTTAGCTTAAGTGGCTGAAATTATAAATAAATTTGCATAAAGATGTTTCAGTGATATTTGCATAAACATCAAAGAATTTATGAAACATAATGTCACAATTCAGAGCATACAGATAGTGTCTATTTTCTAATATAACAAGGTCATCCAGCTGGCTTTATGCCAAAGGCAGGACTTGAACTGGGACTTGAACCTCCCTGTTTATAGCCAGGTGTCTTAACAACAGCATCAGACTGGCTCTCTTGCTGTTAGTTGGGTCATCTGTTTATGTAGTCTTATTTTCTCACTGTATTCTGTGACGTACATTGCTAGAGCCTGCAGATCACTAATGGTGTCATTAGGATAGTACAGATAGATTATTATTTCTTCCTCTAATTTTAAACCCACAATCATCTTTGAATCCTGCTTTCTTCAATATATATTCAGCATATAAATTGATTAAATAAGGAAAGAGTATACAACTTTACCAATGTGAAGCCAATCTATGCTGTAGTAGTGCAGTGGTTAGAATGCAGTATTGCAGGCTAATTCTGCTGACTGCCAGGTGCACGTTTCTCACCGGCTCAAGGTTAACTCAGCCTTCCATTCTTCTGAGGTCAGTAAATGAGGACCCAGATTGTTGGGGGCAATATGCTGACTCTGTAAGCCACTTAGAGAGGGCTGTAAAGCACTGTGAAGCAGAATATAAGTCTAAGTGCTATTGCTATTCTGTCAAGACTGTGGCTTCTTGTCTAGTGTATAGGTTTTGTAAGAGGACAATGAAATATTCTGGCATTCCCATTTTTCTAAGCATATTTCAAAGTTCGACATGATCAATGCAATCAAAGGCCTTTTTTAATGTAATTGTGGACATATTGATTTATTTTTGGTATTTTGGGGGTTTTTCAATTATCCAGAATCCACCAGCAATAATGTTTCTTGTTCCTGGATATTTTTCAAAGCAACTTGATGATTTGGTTTTCTCTCTTATCACATAGGGCTCCAATCTTTATTGCATCATCCTACGCATTATTTTGTTAGAATGTGAAGTTAAGGACATACCTTGCAGGACAGTCTGCTTTCTTCGGTATTTGTGTGTAGGCTGAACTATTCCAGTCTATTAGCCACTGTGTCATTCTCCAGATTGGCTGGCACAGTTTAGTTAGAATCTTTACTGATTCTTCTTTTGTAGCTTACATATTTCTATAAATATATCATCAATTCTTGTAGCCTTCCAAATTGGCAATGAAGACTCCTAATTTGACTTCATCGTCTAGTACTAGAAATTCTTATAAATAGGTATTCTTATAAATCTCTATTATGCAGAATTTCAGAATACTATCTTTGGTTGCTCTGCTTGGAGTCAGTTAAATCTTTTAGTATACAAATTTGAAGTTGGAAACAAAGAGTTCAAAAATATTTTTGGAAGATTTTTTTGTTTTCATGTTAGTTCCCAGGTTTTTTAACATTTTCATTGAAATACTCTTTTTTTTTAGCAGCTTACTGAAATTCCTGAAATCTTTGTCTTTTTTGGCATTAGGTTTTCTGGGGGTAGAGGTTCATTTTCTGAGCTTGTGAGTTGGTTTCCGAGCATTTTGTTACCAGGCTAGGTAACATCTTTAGCGGAATTTAGGAGAGGGATGGGATAAAGATGAACAAATAGAGGGGTGATGTAGTACACAAAATAGCTAAATGCTGGCAATACTACTTAGAGCCTTTTGAGAGATTGAGAGACATATACATTCTAGCAATCAGTTCAGAAATAAATTGATATATAATTTGAGCTCCATTTGCACCAGATTAAAATATTGACATCACTATGTTTAAAAAAAGGTTTTGATTGCAAATCTGCTAAGAAACATGAAGGCGAAGACTCTCCATTTTACTTAGCTATGATAGATACATGTATCTATCACATGTATCTTCAAGATACAATATTCCTCTCAATGCCAACAAGTGGGAGAAAAGCCATTCTATTCATGTCTGGCTTTGGGCTGTGACCACTCGTGGGAAGTGACTGTTGAATTACACAGGCTTTGGCTGTCATCCAGAAGGGAAGTGGTTTTGTCCTTAAACAAATCCAGACACAGAAAGATTTGCAGCACTTTAGAGGCAAAGAAATGAAACAAGCAGGGATGTAAATCCAGCCTCTGTCAGAAACACCATAAAGCAACTGCTTCCAAATATTCTGATAGGTGCTTTGTGTGTACCCATGCATGTTTGAAATCAATTTCTTATTTTGGTCTGAAAATACTGTTCAGCCCTGTTGAACAGAAATGCTACCTCAATGATTGCAATGAAGTTTTCAGTTATTATTATGGATTTCTAACTTGGGGCCCATATAATTCACAAATTAAGATTATAAATATGTGATTTTTACTACTTACTGTGTATTTGACCAGAATGAAATAAAAGACATTAATCCCATATTTTAAAAGAAAGGAGCAAGTATTGCTGATCATTGTTTTATAAGTTTCAGATATATTTTGTTTTAAATATTTGAGGAAAAAAATCAACACCTTCAACATTAAGGAAATACCGTCTGGATTCCCATACTATCCTTTGAAGTAGAGGCTGGGAATTTTTTTCATTACAGATGTTGCTAAACCACAATTCCGAGCATCCTTCCCTAGTTAGGCTGCTAAGAGTTAACAGTTTAGAACATGTGGAGGATCACAGAGTTCTGTCTTTGCGTTACATATCCATTGCAATATTTCCAGGGGTGAAATGCTCCCGGTTCGGACCGGATCACTCAATCCGGTAGTGATGGAGGCGGGTGGTTCGGAAAACCGGTAGCAAAAATCCCCCCCCCCCCCGCCCAGCTGAGCCACACAATCATCAGAGGCTTTCTTTTTACTTTTAAAAGCATTTTTTTCTACAACCTCTTCAGCCGAAAAAATGCTTTTAAAAGTAAAAAAAAAGCCTCTGATGATCGCGTGGTTCAGCTGGGATCCTCAAAGGCTTTTAAAAGAAAAAAACCCATTTTTTCTTTTAAATGCCTCTGACGATCCAAGCTGAGTTGCCTGATCGTCAGAGGCATTTATTTATTTATTTATTTATTTATTTATTTATTTATTTATTTATTTATTTATTTATTTATTTATTTTTATTTATTTATTTATTTATTTATTTATTTTTATACCGCCCTTCTCCCGCAGGACTCAGGGCGGTGCACAGCCAAAATAAAACATAGTATACAAAATTTAAAAACAATTTAAAAACAATTAAATAATTTTGGCCCAAATAATTTAAAACAACCCAGATTAAAACTGAATCAATTAAAACTGAGAGGATGAGATCAAGCCAGCCCGGCTAGATGGAATAAGTGTGTTTTCAGGGCCCAACGAAAAGTCTGGAGGTCTGATATTGTGCGTATCTCAGGGGGTAGGTCATTCCAGAGGGCTGGTGCCGCCACAGAGAAGGCTCTCCCCCTGGGGGTCCCCAGCCGGCACTGTCTGGCCGACGGCACCCTGAGGAGGCCCTCTCTGTGCGAGCGAACCGGATTTAAAAGAAACAAAGTCTCTGCCAATCAGGCAACTCAGCTGGGATCGTCAGAGCCTTTTGAAAGCATTTTGTAGAAATGTAGAAAAAATGGTTTTAAAAGTAAAAAAAAAAATTGGCCACGCCCATCCAGTCACATTACCCCCCCACACCAAGCCATGCCCACAGAACCGGTAGTAACAAATTTTAGATTTCACCAATTGTTATTTATTTGAGCGATAATGATTACCTGGTAAAATAGTCTATTACTGAGTACTGTGATTGCAGAACTAAACATTAAAGAAACTTTTTTTAAAAAAATAGTTACTAATGAGTACGAGTATGAAATTGGAATAGGCTGTAGTATAAATTGCTTTTTGGCTTTGTTTTTAGTTTCTGCAGTAACAGCATTCATAGCTTGGAAGGGAGGCAAAGCATATTTTATAATATTATGTAGAAAACACATTTACAATGTGTAATTTCTTTTTTATTATTATTAAATTTATATAGCCACTCATCTTACAATGTTGACAATTTTTATTTTTAGAGTTATCTTCATCTAGAGACTGTATATGTTTATAAAAAAATTACCTTTTATGATAAAGTATTCAGAGCTTTTGCATCTATTGTAAAATGGCATATTTGAGTTTGAGTTTAAAAGGAAAACAACTTTATGGCTTTACTATATGTAAATATTAGAACATTGTCTTTTGCCAACTCTGTAGAACAGGAAGAACAGGAACAATATATTTTTTTCCAACAAAGGAATAAATTATTTTAAATAGATATTAAATTTTCAGTTGATTACACTGCACTGAGCAGTGAGCATTAAAATATTTGCAAATGTGGTATTATAGGCATTAAAGTATTAGAAATTATATTGCTACTTTCTATTTTGCAAAAGGGAGAGTTTGGATAGCTCAGGTCCAAGAAAATTAATAGTTCTTACATAGTTATGCTACACTCCATACATATTTTCTGAGGGAGAGAGAATCTGCCTGAAAATATTCAATTGCCACACACACACACACACACACACACACACACACACACACACACACACACACACACACACACGATAAAGGAATCACATGGCATACTTTGAAAGGCTATCTTAGCCCAAACAGGATCATCTGCATGCTTAACAGGTGGCTTCAATTTAACAACTTCCAGTGATGGGAGTCTGCTGATTTCTTTTGCTATATTGCATATTGAATCAGTATAGGAACAAGATGCAAAACATTTCAGTAATCACCTCAGTCCATATCAGAAAAGCAGCTCTCTTCTTCCTCTTCTCATCTGGAAGAGATTCTTTGTGATGACTAAGAAGGTCAGAGGCTCAGGCCTATTATTGTGCTATCAGTGAGAAAGAAGCAGCCTTCAGAGACTCCTTATCATAATTTGGGCTTCTGGGACTGAACCTTCAGCGCATAAAGACTTCCTTGTGAAGTTTTTCCTCTCTTTATTTTTAACATACAGTAGCTAGGAGAGCCTTGGTTTCTCTTCCAGCAATGCAAGGCTAATAGCATTTACATAAGTAGATACATGAGCATGCACTCCCCCATAACTTTGTCTTACAGCTCTGATGATATTGTATGCAGTAAAAAGGCGAAAATCACTTTGAAGCTCTAATTACAAAACTGAGGAAAGAATTGAAATCCAGAAAGGGGTTTCTTAAACCAGCTTCATTTCCAGCTAGTTTGCACATGGCATTCAAGCATCTTAAGTTTGCAGTGTAAAAGACCCTGTAAACAAAAGAAATGCCTTTCTGCGGCCTCCAGACATTTTCAGACTATCATGTTGCTCCCTGAATCTCCCACAAGGGCATCTCAGCCAATCTACAGCCTTGGCAACAAAATCTGACCCTGAAACATTGTCATCATAAGGTAGATAGGCTAATTAAAGCAAGATTCAGATAGTCCTCAGAGATCCTCTAGCCAACTTTCTTATCTAAGCAGGGCTTTTGCAATGTTTAATCTGTCATAGCCATCATTCCTTGGAACATAAAGAAGAACCAAGAAAGCCTTGGAAGTCAATCTATTCATCTAGAGTTACATCCCAAGAAGCAAAAAGAATTGACTGCTCTGAGTATGGAACCCGCAATCCCAGGGGTTTTTTTTATATCAACATTATAACCAAGCCTGTCTGGGTAAGAGAACCAAGAATTTGGGAGGCACACAAGCATAATTTTCCAAACAGACATTCCCAGAAAAATCTTAATTGAATCACTATTGCCTACATTCTGGATGAATGAATGATCTGGGCTTCCTTGGCAATTAGTTAGCCAAGAAGAGATTACTGGACTAGATGGACCAGAGGTCTGATCAGAAGTTCTAAGATGTCAGAAAATGGATATGCCCAGTAGCTGAGCTGCTACAAAAAGGAGCAGCTGTCAACAAGTTGCATTCACCATCAGCAAATTATTATTCTTCAAATATATTTATTTGTCAGCATTCAACTAGGGAGTTCAATATGTGTATATGTTGTTTTTATGCACTTTTTAATGTCTTGTTTAGCAAGGAAGAGACTTGGAGAAGTCTACCTGATTAAAAAAAAAACCAAGCATGTCAGATTTTCAGTCCTGAAGAGGAATTTGGCTATCTACAACTTTTCTTCTTAAACTTCCCCTCCTACCTCAAAGTTGTGTAAAAACCCTATCGCCTCTGAAATAGAGATAGGTAGTCTTCGACTTACAACTGGAGACCATTTGAAGTTATGACAGATCCACCCACTACTTACAATCCAGTTCTGAAGTTTGGATGGTTGCCTTCCCCACATGCTCACATGACCACATTTTGGGCACTCGGCCTGTATTTATTTTTGCTTTATTTTTGCTTTATTTTTACATTTTTTTCTCTTTTTTGAGTTTATATTTTAATTTTGTGAATAAAAATTTAAAAATATTGAAAGAAAAAGGAGCAGTTAACAAGTTGCATTCACTGTCAGCAAATGTTGCGACATTCTTAAAGAAAAGACAATTCAGATAGTGTTTTCCATGTACTAATATCCAACTGAATTATAAACAAAGGTTCAACTTTATTTTTCCATATCTTTGTTTTTATCATAGTTTAAATTCAAAGTACAATTGTTTACATACAAGTTGTCCTCAACTTACAACAATAGTGGAGCCTGCCCATTTCGGTCTTAAATTGTGATGATTGTAAAGAGGGTTACCCTGTGACCAACCTAATTTTACAATCTTTTTTGCAGTGGTTAAGCAAACCAATTGTTGATTATAGGCTGGTTTTCTGCAAAAATGTTATAAAACACTGTTGCATGACTGGGACGCTGCAAATGGCCATAAATGCAGGCCAATTGCCAAGCACTCAAAATGTGGGGGAGGGGGGTGTTAGGCAGCCATTGGAACTTTGTGATTGAGTTATAAATTGCCCTGGGAAGGTCCATCATAACTTTGAAAGCTAAGCGGGACAATTTGGGATAGATAAGAAGCAGTGGTAAACTTTATACAAGTAGATTACAATAACAGTTTGTTCACAGAAAATTTTGACATTTTAATCTTGCTGTTTTATTATTGTTTTACCTGTTAACTATTTTGTCATTAATATAGTAGATAGATGACAGGTTAAATAGATAGTTAGTAGTTTATAGTAGTTAAATTAGTAGTTTAAAAATTTGGGGGTCTTTAATATTGTTGTAATATATTTAGCAGTATTCAACTGGGGGGATAATAGGTGTAGATGAGTTAGTGGTTTTTAATGCACTTTTTTAATGTCTTATTTGTTTAATGGGTTTTTTTTTAATTCTTGCTGTCTTTTATTTTAACTTTTTTAATTAATAATAATAATAATAATAATAATAATAATAATAATAATAATAATAATAATAATAATAATAATAATAATTTTATTTCTATACCGCCCTTCTCCCGAAGGACTCAGGGCGGTGTACAGCCTATTAAAAGCACAAAGACAGACATCAATTAAAAATAATTAAAATTATTAAATAATTTTGGCTTAGATTTAAAACCCCAAAAATTTAAAACACCCAATTTAAAATCATTACATTGATAGCCCGGCCTGGCGGAACAGCAGGGTCTTGAGGGCACAGCGAAATACACGGTCGGAGATCTTACGCATTTCCGGGGGCAGTTCATTCCACAGGGCAGGGGCTCCCACAGAGAAGGCCCTCCCCCTGGGTGTCGCCAGCCGACATAACTTGGCCGATGGCACCCTGAGAAGACCCTCTCTGTGGGAGCGGACTGGCCGGTGGGAGGCTATTGGTGGCAGAAGTCTGTCTCGAATAAAATAAAAAATAGAAAATGATCTTTGAAAGCTGAGCTGTAAATTGGGGACTTCTTTATTCAGGAGATTATATGGAATTTGAAGGAAATGCCTGTACAGACCCAGTGCATGCAATGGGAGCACAATGTTTTTTTCAAAAGTTCAACATTTCACTAGATCCCATTTATCCTTAAAGTCCGATGAGAAAATGGAATGCCTTGTCGATTAAAAATAATGCAGAGATTTGTTACTATTTTAATAAAGGATTATGCTTATCTTGCAGCACAGAATTTAGTACCATATTCTACTTTTTGTTCTAATACACAGTTATGTTATTTTCCTGCTTATGCTGTACTTCATGCTCCCAAATCTAGCATCATCCAGATGTGTTGGTGACTCTGGTTTCTGGTAGTTACTATTATAACCAGATTGAAGCATGATTTTGTCCTGGTAACCAAACGTATAACAAGGTACCATAAAACGTTTTTAACCTTAATTCCCTTTAGAAATGTTTAATTTGACATTTGTATATGCAGCCATGAAAAGAAAAAGGGATTGGCATTATAATTGCATATTCCAGTCTGTGGCAAAACTGCAGTTATGTTTGTGCTTTATTTTTAGGGATTTTCATCATGATGTCCATGTGCAGTGAAGTCCACGTGTACGAATATATTCCATCCATTCGACAAACTGATCTTTGCCATTACCATGAACATTACCATGATGCAGCTTGTACCTTGGGGGCTTATCACCCTCTGCTTTATGAGAAACTGCTGGTGCAGAGGATGAACACAGGACTCAAGGAGGATTTATATCGGAAAGGGAAAGTGGTTTTGCCAGGATTTCGGTCAGCAAGATGCCGACGACGATTCTGGTTCCCATAAGAATGATACCTTTCTCAAACAATGTGCAATAAGGTGCTATAGTCATACTGATAAATAGCAGAAATACTTGAAAAATGGATCCTAGACTAACCAGTCTTAAGTCTACAGTGTGTAGTTAAGTAGCAGGCATGACAGAAATTCTTGTTTCTAGGGCCTCTTATTTTTTCTTTGCAAGGTTTTTTTTAAAGATGTAGCTTTTTGAGAAATGCAAAATATAGTGAAAATAAACTTGAGTATTTATATGTGGTCTGCCAGAAAACGTTTCTACTTACATGTGTCATATTAAAGCCTTTTAGAGGGAGCATTTTATTAGTTTAGCGTAATCCAATAAAACAGTTCTTAGAACAAAAATAAAAATGGAATGATAGCAAAAAGTTCTAGCCTAGGATTTCTATCCTTTCCCTCTTCTAAATTTTTTAAAAAAGAACAATAAAAAGAACAAAAACTGGATGTGTATTTAATACAATGAGCCATATTCTTTTCATTCTTTATTTCGTCTAGTGCTAGAACATGGCATCCCAGTCTTACAAGTATTTTGTGCTAGTCTATTTTAAAATGCATTAAGACTGTATTTGATTAAATATATAGATTTATAAATAGATAGGAAAGAGTAATGAGAGAAACTACCTATTATTTCAAAAAACAGTTTATTATTTTGAGCTGATGCATTAGCCAAAAAACCCTCTAAAAATCTGCAGGGGGAAAAAATATCCTGCAGAGTGGAAAAGAACATGGTTTATATGCAGGAGATTTCAAGTTAAATTCCAGCATCTCTAGCTAAGGCTGGGGGAAAAAAGTCTAACCATTGCCAATAAATATTGGATTAGGTCAGGGGTGTCAAACTCCTGGCCCATGGGTTGGATACATCACACACTGGCCACACTCACCCCCCTTTAGCAAAAGGGGGAAAAGTCGCGATATGTCATGTGACGACGTGACACTGTGAGTTTGAAACCCTTGGATTAGATGGATCAGTGATCTATGAAACAGATTGTTTGCTTAAAGCAACTTATACTGATTGAGGAATATTAAAGTGCTGCTTTTGCCTTTGACAATTTGTCCAGGTTCCGAGCAGGGAAAATAGATATAGAAACTGATACTGATATAGATCATTGAAAAATGTTTATTAGAACAAACTACATCTAATCAATCATCCATTTTTATTCCAAAAAAAGACAAGTTGATGCCTCAGGGAAGTTCAGATGTAGAGCTTAAAGCTTATAGACCCCTACGGAGACAGAGACTTCCTCTGAATCCAATATTTGGGCATTAGCTAACCATTTTCTTAAATATGAAGATCTGTTGAGCTGCCTTTCCTAATTGCAAGTAAGTATTTGGCATTACCAAAAATATTTACTTTGTACCCTGACTAAAATTATAACTTTTAAAAAAATAGTTTGGGTCAAGATGAACAAGGTTGGTGTTTCAGAACTACATAGGAAACACTTTTTTTAAAAAAAGCTGGAAACACTATTGTTTACTAACGAAAATAATTTACATAGTACACATTTTTATGATATGCGTATCATAAAAAGTATCATTTGATACATAGCAGTATACTTCGAGCAGTCACTTTAACCAAATGTCATTTGATATTCCTTCTAGGATTTTTATTCAGTATATAGTGCCAAATTGTCTTTTTCCAAGTATTGCCTGTTTTCCAAATATGGACTAGCACAAATTTATGGATGCCATGATCCTACTTTTGAACTAAACTTTGTTTTCTTATTTCACCATTTCAAATATTCCAATGCAACCACTTCTGCCATTGAAGTTGTGGTTGTTTGTTCTATCAATTACAAAAGTCGCAAGCTGTGACGTTTAGAAATATATTTTCGGCTCTTCTTCTGAGATTATTGGTTTTACAAAAGAAGAGCTCCTGTATATTTTACTCCTATGTAATCTGAGGGGAGAAATAAGAGAAAAAGAACAGGAGGATATCGGTATGCCACTCTGTTCTTCTAATTCTGTGTTACTAATTTTTAAAAATGTCATGAGTAGAAGAAAGCAGAATGAATTATAAATTATTGGAAGTTTATATCTTTTGAGACAGTAAATGAATGTGAACTAAATGTTAAATAGAATGTGTATATTTTTAGGTAACCTTACTATATATACAAAGAGAGGGAGAGAGAGTGCATTTTGGTTTATCTATAAATACTGCATTATTAACATTTGTACTATAATTCAGTGAAAAATCTCACAAACGCATGTAAATTCTGAGTTTGCTTTATTTGCTGGTTTAAAGAGCAAATACAGGTAGTCCTTGACTTACAGCTACGACTGAGCCCAACATTTCTGTTGCTAAGCAAGGCAGTTGTTAAGTAAGTCATGTCCTATTTAATGACCTTTTTGCCATGGTTGTTAAGCGAATCACTACAGTTAAGTGAGACATGTACTTGTTAAGCAAATTTGGCTTTCCTTATTGATTTGCAAATGACAACCCCAGGATCCTGGGTCGCTGCAACCATCATAAATGCAGGCTGAAGTTTTATTGTGTGGCTGTGGGGAACTGGTCATAAGTCACTTTTTAAAGTGCCATTGTAACTTTGGTCATTAAATGAATGGTTGTAAGACAAGGACTACCTGTAATGTTTTTTTTAAAAGGCAGGGATTGATTGATTGGAAAGGTAAGTTTCAGTTGATACAATGACTATACTGATAGCCTCACTTACATCTGTATTGATAGCAATACAGGTGAAAAGCTGCACTCAACTCTTTTCGTAAATGATTCATTTTCTGTTATTTTATGGTCTATACTTTCCACTGTGAATTTTTTAATGTGGTGCTCTCGATTTTTATAAATAATGCCTTCAAATTGTGAAATTGAAATGTTTTTATGTATATTGCAGGGAATTAACTATTGAGCCAATTTTTCGTTGCTAGACAAAAACACAATATTCATTAAATTGTATTCTTCTAATCTTATATATAATTTGAAGGCGTATTTAAACTATCATTGGTCTTCCCATTAGCCTTGCTTTCTGAAATCTTGTTTTTTAATCATAGTTTATATCTAGCATGTGTGCTCTTATTCTGTCAGTTTTACACTTTAAAAGAGTAAAACCCACTTTAGACGTAGAATCCAGTTTCCTATGAATTTATGATGTTAAAAGATTAACATCATAAATCTTACATTCAAGATTAGGCATTCAAGATAAATTGAAAGTGGGGTCACTGTTTGTTGTAATTTTAGAAGTTAAGGTGCCCAGATAAGATTTTTCATTGGCCTGGGAGAAGAATTGTGTACTCTCTGTGGTCTTCACAGAATCTACAGTGTTGCTTAGTTAAGTCTCTGATTCAATTTCTCTGATGGAAACTGAGCTGCCTTGAACTCTGAAAATTTAATTACTTTTAATAATGAGTACAAATAGCCCTATTCATATATATAAACAATGCCTTCTTATGAATCAGAAGAGTTTTCTGGGTTTAGTTCTATAGATAATATTCTAGTACTCTCAAAAGGATTTACTTTCAAATAGAAAGTTAATCTTAATCTTGAGGCAATTACAAAAATTGGAAGATGAGAAGTATTTAGTAGTATCATTTCAGTTATATAATGGTGGGATTAGTACAGAAAGTCCCTGGATGACTTTGGGCTAGTTGTTAGCCTCAAAAGAATTGTTGTAGAGGGATTTAAATTGAAGAATAATGCTTTGTATGTTGCTTTGAATTCCTAGAGAAAAATATTGATGTTGATGTAGCAAGCAAACATAACACTTAAATCATACTTTAAGTCAGAATAACAGAGTTGGAAGGGATCCTGGTGGTCTTCTACTCCAACCCCCTACTCAAGCAATAACCCTATACCATTTCAGACAATTGATTGTCCAATCTCTTCTTAAAAATCTCCAGTGTTGGAGCACCCACAACTTCTGAAGGCAACTCATTCCACTGATTAATTTTTCTGTCACAAAATTTCTCCTTAGTTCTAGGTTGTTTCTCTCCTTGATTAGTTTCCATCCATTGCTTCTTGTTCTGTCTTCAGGTGCTTAGTTGACTGCCTCTTCTTTGTGGCAGCCCCTGAGATATTAGAACACTGCTATCATGTCACCACTAGTCCTTCTTTTCATTAAACTAAACATACCTAATTCCTGCAACTGTTCTTCATATGTTTTAGCCTACAGTCCCCTAATCATTTTTGTTGCTCTTCTCTGAACTCTTTCTAGAATTTCAACATCTTCTTTATATCATGGCAATCAAGATGCACAATTTTTTTCAAGCCAAAAACCTGCTTGCCCCTTCCATTGCTATCCCAGGATAGCCTGCCAAACAGTGGGTAAAATTAGTACAAAAAAGTAAATGACTGAGGACAGGACAACTAAATTTCCACTACTTTAATTAAAATTAAATGTGTTAATATGATCACATCTCATGGACATAACAGGCAATAAAAAGCCTTGGCTTCTGTGCTGTGTTCTTTCCTTCTGGTGGAGTGATGAGATCACTCTTCTTACTTAAAGTCACCATAATTTGTCATTATTGCACATCTATATGTCTGAAAATGCAAATTATTGTTAGTTTAAATTATAGATAGTTGCCACAATCCAGGACAGAGCGAGGAAGTTCTTTGTCTTTTTTGGAGGAAGTTTTCTTAAAAGCAAAATCTTTGATAATTACTGTATGTAAAATTTACTTGCTTATGCTATCAGTGTTGACTTCAACAAAGCAGCAGGAAACCGTAACACTTTTTAGCAATTATATTGTCCAAATTTAGGGGCCATGAAAAATAGCTCTATTGCTGCAGATGACTATCCTGATTTAAATTTAACATAATTGATCCTTTGGTAATATAATAAAGTACGTGGGGGGAATGTGTTCATACCCATATATAAATAGCTTCATTCCAGATAATTAAACTATGATTAGCACAACCTTGGCAAATGTCATCTGGTATTTTGGCCTCTAGTTTCTATCATCTCCAATTACTGGAATGGAAATGGTGAGATTACAGTCTAAAACAGCCAGATTTAAGAGTTTAATCCAATGATTGAATTTTAAACTTTAATAAATACATCTAAGCACACTTATTTGAAAGTATAGTCTAGTAGAGTCAGTGGTATTTATTGCCAAAGGGGGGTTTGAGTTATAAATATGTGTAGAGAGGTGAAATGTCTGCTTGCAATGTTTTAGTCTTAGTTTTTTCTCATAGATGAATTATTAAAAGCAAGCAGAACAATTTGAACTAATTTTAGGGCAATCATGGTAAACTGGATTTCAGAATGTAAAGCCTTGCTTGAAGAGGTTTTGAAGCCACAGAGCATCAGACTTATATTTCATACTTAGCACCATATTTCAATTGGGCCAAAGATACCATGTCAGCCCTGTGGTTGTCTTTCATCCTTAAGTCAAATATCTGAAGCAGATATTAGTATTATATATAGATTGAAAAAAGGTATGTATTAATAAAGAAAAGATATGCATTAGTAATAATTATTAAAAGAAAGTCATCTTATTCAATATAAAATATTAATGAATGTACAGGTAGTCCTTAAGTAACAACCATAACTGTTCCTAAGCAATGCAATCATTATGCAAGACATCATGGGATCATGAGGGGCTTACAACCTCATTCCCACCACAGTTATTAAGTGAATCGCCTGTAATCATTATGCAAAACATCATGTGATTGTGACTTGCAGATTTATTGCTAGCTTTCTCCTTTGGCTCTAGTTTTGGAAGCCAGCAAATGGCAGTCATATAATTGTGAGACATTGCAACAATTGTAAGTGTGATGAAACAAACAAGGCAGTTGCTAAGCAGGACTACCTGTATTGGAAAATATTCTGCTCTGTATGATACTTAGCACTTGAAAAATGTGCTGGTTTGAACTCTATTCAAAAATTATTCTAGTCACAGATTAAACTTTGAACTAGGTAATGCAATTCAAAGTTCCTCATTTAATTTGATTACAACCCATACTTTTTACCAGTTTAAATACACAGGCATGTATATTAAAAAGTATGCCAGTGTGGTTTTCTAGTGGTCCAGCTGAGCATGTACAAGCTGACAACAGAGATTCAGATTACTGTTTTTTGTAGACTTCAGAAGCTCAACCATCTACGTCTTACGAAGGTAAATTAAATATCAATTGAATTGCATTTAATATCCAGCTTTTTTTCACCTGGTATTCTATTATTTGGAGATAAATGAATTACACTGTGGGAAAATTTCCCTTTAAGAAATAGAGGTGGTCATAATATTGTCTTCAGTGTGGCAAAAAATACCTTAATAACTGATTTAGATTTTAGTAACTGATGCGTCTTGAAAGTTTATGGAACTAACTTTTAATATTGCAAATTTCTATTGCTTAATAAAGGACTGTCTCCTATATGGTTAGATCAAGGCTGGTTCATGCAACAACTTTCCCTTTTGGAAAAAAATACAAATAGCCTCAACCCATGGCTGAATCTACTGAATAGAATTGACTGTGTGTTAGGAGAATTGCTCTTATTGGGAATCTTTCCCTGTTGAATTTTCCTCCTCCCACAGCAACTCTCCAAAATGTAGCTAGTAATATTCAATTTGATACTCTGCGGAAAAGACCTTTGGGGGGAATAGAAAGCTGCAGCAAGAAGTAAGAAAAGTGAGTTGGACAAAGCTACCTTTCTCTTCATGCAACTTTGCATACAATGCATGAGTTGAAATTTGTTCCTAAATTATTATCTGTGAACTGGATTCTTTAAAGCTAGTTGCTGAGTTATTCAGTAGAAAACCGTGTACTTTTTAATAGCCTTGATAATTATTTTGTATGATGATTTTTAAGTGAATGTACACTCTTCAAGAAATGAAAGTTTGAGATTTTCCAGGAGTCATGTTTTTAAAAAGTGTTTGTATACATTTTAACACTTTTGTATTTTCTATTTTGCTTTTATATATTTTTATGTATGAATAGTGTATAGACTTTCTTGTAAATAAAGTTCTTTTTTGTAAATTAGAAGCATTAATTGTTTCCTTATTTAGCTTGAAGAAGTGAAATTGCCTGGGCTAGATATCAGCTATTCTCCTCATTCCCTGGGCTACAAACAGCTACTTATCCACAATCCACAATCCAGCCCAACATTACCTGCCTTCAAAACAGCACTGAAGACATGGCCCTTCCCTTAGCCTTTTGGGCTACCTACCAAGG